CAGGATTCAAACAAGATCTTAGAAGGAACTGCCCAGGATTTCAATGATTCCTAATGAAAAAATTCTGGTTATATCTTCCAGAATCTTAGTAGATTTCCTCTAGAATATTATTGTATTTCTTGATAAGATCCTGGCAGGATTTATCAAGGTTTCCTTCAGGATATGATCAGATTTTTGGACAGGATCTTTGCAGGATTATCTAAATAGAACAGAAGAGAAATGAACACGCAGAGTATTGATCTCTAGACCTTCAGTTTACATACCGATCTGCTTACCCGGCTGGATGTGCCATGTTATTAGATATAGTTTCAGCCTTCAATATCTTCACTTTTATCTTAAATCTTAACTTGTATTTCAGTTTTTTATCAACATAATTCATTTAAGAAAAAAATTACAAAACAAAATATTTCATTTTAAATATTTATTTCAGTTGAAAAAATCCAACTGTGTCGTGTTTCATTTTAGTTTGATTTAATAAATATATTTTCAACCTTTCTTAACAAATAAATAGAATGCACAACAGTTTTTACCGAAAGATTTTACTTCAAAAAAAAAAATATAATTGATTTAAAAAAATAGTACAATCAATCAACAGATGTGAATTCCTTAGCTTAGAAATTTTCCAAATATTATTCAATATAAAATAGGTCAGATGATTAATTTCATATCGTGAATGTCATATCGATTTCAATGTAGAATATATATTCTGAAAAGATTTCGAAGAAACTTTAAAAAATTTGACATAATCTCTTCATTTGCTTTTATACAGATTTAAATCATAATCAGAATAGAAATCATATTATTAATTGATTTTTATCAATTATCAGAATTTCAGTACAACCAGAATAAAAACGTAGTAAATCTTGAAAAATCATTCACGTTGTAGAGATCTTATTCAATTGTGACATTGAAATCCGGTCGCGATTTTTAGATGTACAGATCTTGAACCGATCCTGGGTAAAATGCAGATAAAATCTTAATGAAATCTTGTCATGCATTCTTTTCAGGATTCTGAACAGGGTCATTTATAAATCTTGGTAGGATCCTGAATATCAAATTCTGAATACACTTCAAACACAAGCCTGCAAAGATCTTAACTAAATCCTGGTACTTTCACTTACAGATTTCGATCATACATGCACTACTTTGCCACGATCCAAAACACTTGTTCTTGAACAGATCCTTGTAGAATCTTGGAAAGACTTAGGAAAGATCAACATAAGAAAAATAAATCGATATTGGGCCAGGATCTTGAACAGATCTTGAGTAAAACCTGATTAAATCTTTAGCAAAATCTGAATCTATCTTTGGAGAAATCATTAAATTTATGACATTGGAAGTATTCTTCAAAATGAACAGCGTTAAGTAGCGTTAACAGTGAATTACAAAGGTTCTAACGGAGTCCTTATAATTTCTTGTCAAAATCGTGATTAGGATTGGTATCGTCTTACAACCTATGGAGATGTACATTCTTGAACGGTTCCGAGCAGGATCCTGATCGAAAGTTGGCAGAATTAGTCAGTTTATCACTATGACTGATCTTGCCATTTTCTTGCCAAGATCCTGGTCGGATGTACTTCTAAATCCTGAGAGGATTCTGAGATGACGATCTGGTTCATATCCTTGTGGAAACCTATTACAACCATGCCAGAATACTCTTTGATAATCTTGTCAGAATCCTTAGTAGGATCGAGAATGAATCCTGGTAGGATCCTTGATTTTCTATTCAGAAAAAGATCTGATCATGATCCTGAACAAATCCTAAACAGAATCCTGCCTAATCTTAAAGAACCCTGGTAACTGGAATTGTTAGGATTTGAGACAGGATCCTGAATGAAAATTGCCAAGACCCTTGAGATTCAGGATCCTGAAAGATCCTTTCAGGCTTTCCCAAGGAATGAACAGGATTGAAACTAGGGGTACAGATACATTAAATGTAAACTCACACCTTTACTCTTATTGCAAAGGGGAGAGAGTGTTGCTTGAAAATCAGCCATTTTTTTTGAATGGTCGATTGTTGGATCACTCATGCGTAGGTATATGAAAAAGTAGCAAGAAGGTCTTCTTTTTTTAATGTGTCGTGAATTTTTTTGACATTCAGATATACATATAGGAAGAAACGTTTTTTGTCATTATAGATAATTACTTAAATGATGATGTTCTTTTCTTTTGACAGCGTAGCGTTACACGTCATTTTATAAAATTCATGCGTAAAGGTAAGATGTTTTATTTTCGAACTCATTTGTACTCATCTACGAAAATTTTAAAAGTTAGTTACTCTTATGAAATTTTGTAGTTCATATGCTTCGTAATGAAAAAAACATCAGTAAAAAAAAGTCCATCTATTCTCATGCAGTTTTCTATAAACGGTTAGTTGACTTGAAAATTTTGCAAATAACTGTCATTCAGTTAGGTCTGATTAACAGTTAAGATATTGAAGTGAAATATAAATGACAAAAAATATCTATCAAAACGACTTCTATTTCTAACAAGCTTGGAATGAATGTGAAGTTGAAATATTCTCTGGACTTCAAATCATCACAGAAGAACGACGTAGAACATAGGACGAGAACGAAACGAAAAGTAATCGAGTAAACAAGACTGGAATCACTGTAAAGGAACATCTCCCGAGAGATCGTTATATTGGCTCAATTATCCAATTTCGCAAATATTGATGAATGTCAAGTTGTTAGTTCTACATCTAGTTCTATACATTCGTAGCATCTGTCCAAAGTAGGTTGTACAAATGTTATACAATGGTGATTAGAAAAATGTTTTTGGCAGTCGATAAACTAGACCATACTGGTTAAATAATTTTATTCGCATCTTTTTCTCTTCTCTAGATTACTTTAAAAAGTATCCTGAAAATGCATTTTCCATCACCAAAAGAGCATGTTCTTCCTCATAACATTTTATGTGTTGCGCCACCCATGGAATTACTGGCTAACCATACAAATAAGAAGATTAGGGGATCCATGCTTGGTCTTGCCATAGGGGATGCTGTTGGAGCTTGTGTTGAGTCTTTTCCATATGAAAGACTCGTTGAGAACCCCGTTCGAGATATTATAGTGGATCGCCCTTGCCGTCTGCCTCCAGGATATTGGACAGATGACACATCGATGACATTGTGTCTTGCTTCATCTCTCATTAGCAGACAAGAGTTCGATCCTTATAATCAAATGGTTCGTTACAAATGGTGGTACAGATATGGTTACCTTTCATCTACAGGGGTATCTTTTGGTAGCGGTCGTGCTACTCGTCAATCTCTTCGTGAATTTTCTAAGCGTCAGTATATTTTAATGCGAGCATTCAATTTGAAGACTGAAAGTGAGGTTGATCATTTGTCATTTCGGACAGTAAAGCGAGTAGCCAATTTTGACGTCACTTGTGGGCGATCTTATGCTACCGGCAATGGTGCTCTAATGCGTCTTGCACCAATACCGCTCTACTTCTTTAGAAACCCTCGAGTAGCAATCGAACTCTGTGGACGAAATTCACCTCTAACTCATGGAAGCCGATTATCCATGGATGCGTGCCGTTATTATGGAGCTTTAATTGTAGCAACACTTAACGGAGAAACAAAGCAACAATTGCTAAGTAACAATTTTTCTGAAGCTCATCGAGCATGGTTTGGTCGAAAAGGTCTTTGTAAACAAGTGCTTCGCATAGCATCGGGCTCATATAAAAGGCCTGGAGGTTACAGTATGGGTATTCGAGGCACTGGTTACGTTCTCAAGTCGCTTGAAGCAGCTTTATGGGCTTTCTGGAGTGATCAGAACTCGTTTCGAAACAGTGTGCTTGCCGCAGTAAATCTCGGAGATGATGCGAATACGACAGCTGCCATTTATGGTCAACTAGCAGGTTCTTACTATGGTCAAAGTGATATTCCATCCAAGTGGTTGAAAATACTCTACGCTAAGCAGCTCATAGTTTGTATGAGTGATTGGATACACTTTCTCGGCTTAAAAACTTATTTATCACCGATGATTCATAAGAATATGCACTATCACGTACAAGTGCAAATGCCAAAGGATCAATTACTTCATTCTGTTGCTCTGTATGGTGAAACCTTTAGACAAACAGTTCCTCGTCCAATAAACTCAATATTCGACTAGGATGTTAATGCACGCCATCGTCGATTACCACATCGAAGCAACTCCTTTCGCTGAAATAGTAAATCTTCTCCAATAATAGAAGTCCCTAGAGGCTTCTGTTTTAGGGAAGCTATTAATATGACTTCTATGCACAAGCTACAAAGTGCATAAATGAGTATTGCTTCAATGATTTTGATTATTTATTTTCTGTAAGTTCAAATAATCTTACAACATTGTGTGAGATTTTATATAAAGATACAAGAGAAAAATAGATTGTAAACAATAATTTAAGAAAAAAAAAACAATAAAATGAGAAAAGATTAAAAAATATTGACTAACTAAAGTACTTCCAAAAGTGGTTTCATGTTACTTGTTTATTTTTTTGTGTCGATGTATTTCTGTTTTGACCTTCAGCTAATTTGAAGTACCGTTCGATCTGCTGTTGTTCTTCTTTTTCATTGACTTCTAGTAAGGGATAGTCAATAGTAGTTGGATGAAGAGTATACCCTGAAAGAGTACTTGGTGACAGAGGTGAAAGATCCGTTCACATGTATCCGACGTTTTTAAACTCTTCTGTGAAATAAATACTTTTCATTGTACATTGTCAAGCAACCATGGTTAGACAAGTACAAAGAATTCTTTACTGCGATGCAGTTAACTTTATGTTACCTCTTGGGTTATTTTTTTCAAGATATTCTTCAGCTGCATCAGTAAAATGCTTTATAGAGACGGAAAATATTGAGATATCTAATGATTGAAGGTACATAATTATTACCAGAGGCGGCGGAACATTTTGAAATTGGGTGAGGCTCAGAGCCTAATAGTACCAAAAAAGGTGGTACAAACGAGGAAGGTACCCGAAGTGATTCACCACTTTTGAGCTCATATATAGGGCATATAGGGTGGACCTCTAGACTAGAATAATCTTAAAAGGGTTCGCGCCCATAGGCCTTCATTA